TGGGCCGGAGATTCGAACCCGCGACTCTCAGAGTACGAGTCAAGCGCCCTGACCTCCTGGCAATGACATAGTTGGCACTACCCAAACTTGTTAAAATGCTTGGAAAAACACCAACTTGTGTTTCATTTTTAAGTCAAAGATATCACTAGGGTGTATACAAGCATTAAAGGCAGTATTTTCTCCGAAATTATTTACCTGTAGTCGATTTCAATCAGTTTGTTAAATTAAGCATTGCAGATTTTAAAACAAATCAAATTAAAAAAATAAAGCAAAACAAGAAGGTCCAAAAACATAAATCATTATGACGTAAAGATCAAAGATTTCAGGCGTGTTCCAAGCTTTTCTGTCCCACGTGTGTGTTTACGTGAATACATCGTATACATCTGTTGAGAGTTGACCAGTTTCCGCATTTCCTCAAAGAGACAAACGTGGTTAAGCCTAAATATCGCCATAAAGAATTCGGGGAGAATGTATTCCATTCTGACCAAAAAATAAAAAATACTAGAGAACCTAAAGAATGGCACGATGGTAGCAGTTAGTGTTTGCAACATTATGTAGGTTTATATTTGGCATTTTCTAAAATTGAAGTTTTTGGAATCCGAAACAAATCTATTTTTATATCCGAAAAACTATGGCCTTCATAAACACGATAAACCAAAACTTAAATCACTTCTAATTACTAAACTACGGAACATGGCTCATTGTAAAATTAAAATGATTTGTTTATCTCTCACTCGACCGAATAGGCAAATTTTTTGGGAAAACAATATTATGATTGTTAAATCCTGTAATAAACAGTTCTAATATTTACATATAATTAACAAACTATGTATCTCTTAAATTTGCTTCCAACAGTCTTACAACATACAAGCATCTAATAATACACGATATCTTATAACATAACTTTCAAATCACCGCACTTCTACGTTAATAAGCATCACAGAAGCCTAATTTTCTAAATGCAACTCCTACTGATCACGTGGGTTGCGTGACAGGAGGGTCATGAGATCCCACAAGTACGACTAAATTACATTCAAAGGCGATGACCCGCGCTAATTTTCATAATATTTCCATGTAAACTACACACGAGAAGGAACTACTAATCGTAAAGTGATTTTTGTTGTTAGTTTGGAGCAAAACAAGTGTTAATTATGAATTATTTTACTTCTACACCTTTCTATTTCTAGGATATATTAATTCACGCATGTACCAGGCTCAGTTACGATACGTTTTTAAACACATGTTTAACTATCGCACGTGACTGTGCATTTACTTGAAATTTCGAGCTCACGACTAGTCTTTGTGTAGGCTTGGCTAGAGTTCGAACATAAAAAAAGGGGTAACTCAAACATTCGCATACTCTCTCAGAAAACGTACGTTCGAAATAAGTAGGGGTGAGAAATTTCTTAACTGTGTAATAAATTATCATTATCATGTATATTCTCATTTTCAAAGGGCGATATTCACTCAATAGCAAACACAAGGTTATAGATATTTGAGAAATATTTAAACCAGTATTTAATTGAATATCTGGTGAGATTAAGTAATACAAAGATTATTTAGTTGGATATTTGGTGAGATTAAGTAATACAAAGAGCATTTAGTTGAATATCTGGTGAGATTAAGTAATACAAAGATTATTTAGTTGGATATCTGGTGAGATTAAGTAATACAAAGATTATTTAGTTGGATATTTGGTGAGATTAAACAATACTAGGTATTTAGTTTGGATATCTAATGAAATTAAGTATTACAAAGACTTTGTATTGTTTAACCTCACCAGATATTCAACTAAATGCTCTTTTGATTGTTCGATTTCACCAGATGTCCAATTAAATACTCTAACAAAACATTGTAAGTGACTGTTTATAAAGTTTCCTCATTAGAGAAGCTATTGTGACGTACCTAAGTACATACTTGATTAAAAGTAAATAATATTTGTATTTTTAATTTGGCAAATAGTGTACTATTTACTCAGGCCCCTGTATATGTCTTATCGTATTTACTCTTTCTATTATTATAATCCTTAAAAAACAGTATTACCAAAATGTTATAAGTGCCTGACTCTCATTAGTTTACGAGAAAAGAGTGTATTTATTTAGTATTTTTATAATTATCATTATTATTTTGTATTTTAACTATTTCACAACATCTTCATTATTTTTCCCAATTGCAGCCTAGCCTAATGATGATTCGAGTTCGTCTTGAATACTGGATCGAAAACGAGTTTTTTAATAAAGCTCGAAGTCGGCTCGAATAAAATAATGGCTCGCACGTTCCCCATGCAGAGTACAAACGAACTAATCAAATTATACGACATTGAATACTCAATTCATAGCCACATAAAAGGAAAGTTGCGTAATTAACGAGCGAAATTGAACAGTATAACGTACCACAATCACTTGTATGGAACAGAACACAAGACCAACTCAACCGTTGTAATCCCTCTAACACATGTTGGACATTCACACATCTTAGAACGTGCAGTATTACTTAACAGATGTATGTTAATAATTCATCACAAGGTTATTTTCTTAAACGTGGGATACCTGGAGGTGATAGAGTACTTTAATAAACCCACCTCCAATATTTTTACTAATCAATCCTTACACCATAATCTGCTATCCACACAAATTTTTATCATCATATTGATTTTTTATTGTCCTGAGATATCTAGACAAACATTTTTAATTTACTCTGAAAGTCACGAACTTGCACAAACAAACACTATTACTTCTTCTTGAAGGCCATATTCATCACCTTACTCGTATAATTAGGAGTCACTCGTATCATCACACCAACATGTCTATAAATCACCATGTGTAAACACATAACACATGGGTATCAAGACACAGCAGAGAACAGCTTTTGTTTATTCTAATATGTGAAGCAAATATAACAAAATAAAAACTAAAATTTCATCTGAAATAGCTTCATGTATGCACAACTGTATCTTTATAAGTTGATGTTTATCATTAAGCACAAAGTTACACAAAGGGTTATCTGTGCTCTGCCCACCACGGGTATCGAAACCCGGTTTCTAGCGGTATAAGTCCGTAGACATGTCGCTGTGCCACAGAAGGGGGAGGGCGTATCTTTATAAACAAGTTCTTTTTGTTCATTAAGATGAATTCTGAAACATCCTTGGAATTCAATGATGGTCAGTTTTAAATTTTATATAAAAGCAATTGTAAAAAAGAATAAAAATGTTCGCTGCCAATAATTTAAACAAATATCACAGAAATTTTTAATAGAAAAGTGTTTGCTTCTCATAACAATGTTTAAAATGCGTTCTTTTCCATTAAGTGGAATTAAGTAAGAAATTTAGAAAGAGAAAAAAATCATGCAATGTTGACTATTTTGGCCAAGTAGTTTGCTTTATAACATAAAAAAAACAAATATCCCTGATAAATAAAAACTAAACAACTAATCAAAAATATACATTACATATTGATTTTTAAATTCAACAATTTTGTCCAATTGTATTTGTATAAAAAGTTAATCTTTTAACACATTTTACTATGAATTTTAGTTTGAATGGAACGTATGTCAATATTACACGTAAAACTTACCTGGGTTTTATTATGGACTTCATTATTCATGCTTTTCCAGGTATTGTACAGAACATTTGATTTTGCTTTTGTTATAGCCACAGCTCTCTCTAATGCTCGATCAGGACATTTTTCAAACAAAAGAACTCGTTCAGCTACTGATCCTTTAGTTAAAAATGGCTTAATAGGTACATGAGAGTGATATCTGTCAGTTGGAGAGAGAGAGCGTTCTCTTATATGCTGTTTCTGTGCCATTGTTAATTTTGGGTGTGGGATAGCTGGTGTTGAGCTTTCTGTGACTCGGTCACAATATGTTTTTCGAACTGCATATTTTTGTAAAGCTTCATAAACATGTTCATCCACTCCATTTTCATTGTTCAAGTCAATTTGCTCCATGTACGGGTTCATTCCTGACCACATAGTTTGCAAGTGAGAAGGCTGAACACCGTTCTCCCACCTGCATTTCGCTTCGCTAACTAATTGACCATTTTTTGGTCGAGGTTTGAAGGTTTCCTCTTTCTTCTGCTCATGACTCGCACTATGGAAACGGTTTTTGGCGTAAACCACAGGTGAAAGAACATAATCTCGATTCTGTCTTACTTCAGGTTCACCTTTACTGGAAAATGATTCTGATGGCGACTCAGCAATCAAATCTATATCCACTTTAGGCACATTTCCTTCTCTTAAATTTGCACGCGACGATGATAAATCTTGACTAGCACTTCGCTGATGAAGTGCTCCTACATCATTCAACTGAAATGAACTTGGATAACTGCACGGACGACTCTCTTTTTGAGATTTGGCTCTTGTTTCATGTCTCAGTTTTGGTATCGCATAGATATCGTCCTCTGATGACTTGAGAAAACTGTCTTCTTTAGATGCCCAATGACTAGGTCCAGGATCAGACGAACCGATTATTTTGAGTGCATCACCTTCCATACATTTAAAGTGATGATTCTGTTTCTGACTTTGGGATGGAGACAGATCAGGATACCTTTTCTCTAAAGTTAACCCATGGTCCTGTTCAAATGAAACTGTAGTGACCTTCTGACAGCCACCTGGTGGTTGACAAATATTATTACTTTTTTTATCTCCAAAAGCGGCTTTCTGTTGCTCTAACCTCTCTGAGCTGGTAAGCCGAGTGTTCTCTTTTGCAGTAAATCTGTTTATTTGAGCCTTTACGCCTGTTTGCTGATATTCTGGAGAAGCTTTGGGTGAAGTTGAAAGCTTTTCTTTATCCTCTGCTTTTCCTGCTTGTGCGATTTTTTCTGTTATAGTATGTCTGGCAATGCTCCATTCTGGAGTTGACGGTTTTTTAATCACTTTTTCCAAGACTGTTTCAGAACTTCCTTTACACTGATACACAGATGCCTGTGGAATTTTACCCAGAATACCTTTCGTTTCGTTTCCAGGATGTGTCAGCTGAGAGGAAGACATGTGACTAGAGCGGCTTGTCTTGGGTGTATTTTGTCTTCCATTTTTGTTATCTAAAGTTCCTGTAGATGCTGAAACATCATCATGTTCGTCTTTACTTTTTCTATCTCCTCTTCCTGGATAAGTAGCAAACCCAGGGGGCTGAAGTTTTGGAGAGATGTTTTTCAGAGTAGAAGCCTTAACTACATTAGAAGAAGGATTTCCCGGAATTTCTGTCTTTCTTCGTGCAGCAAGTTTTACTTTGTCTTGAGCTACAAAACTGCTGACTAGTGCCTCGAGTTTTCCGCCCAAGTCACTAGCAAGCAGTTCTACTGGGTCTATAGATTCTAGATCCAGCCTGGTAGCAGATAGAGGCGATCGTTTAAAATACTGTGTCGGAGTGGACGTTAAAGAACTTGACTGACTATCCTTTGAGGTTGTAGGTGACGACGGTGATAGCGAACCGACAGGAGGAGAAGAAAAAGATGGCAGCTTCAGCAAAGGCGAACAGATTCCGTAATGAACGGCCTTACATTCCGTCCCTGGGAGTTTATGGGGGTCAGGGCAACAAGGGTCGTGTTCCACAGCATGAACAGACCGACTGCGAGTTAGATCTACTAAAGCACTGTAAAACACAGTCACCTTTGTTACCGCAAGCTGGCAGCAAACATAGTTATCCTGCATAATAGAGTGATAAATCGAACCAATTTAGTTTCGAAACATGAGCCACATAGATTAATATACAGCTATTTATAAAGTTAGAGATTATTCTTTCTCACGTTATCAAAACAACGGACGTTGATTACTTCAATTAAAACAGAATTAACTGTAATTGCCCTCACTCAATGTACGTTTTTCGCTAACCCACATAAAAAAGCAATTCACTAATAAATATACCGCTCGTTGTTTTACACACTTGATTGTATGTGTTATTCACAGTCTTTTACTGCAGCATACTGTCTATCATAAACACCAGAAAACCTTACATTTAACTTGGAGGGCTTCTTGGCCTAATTGGATTAAACCAGAACGCCTGCAAGACCGAATACATATGAGCTGAGCACTTTTATTAGTAAACACTTGCGATAGTTGAAAGCGATTGGACAAGATGAGAAAGCAAAGTTACTGGTCAAAGAGCCAAAATAGCTTTCTCCAATAAATCCAGGGTAATTAAAATCCAGGCAAGTGTAAAACAATGGTCGACCATCCGTGTTGTACCAATAATCTCGATTAACAAACACACACTCGAATACATCTGAGAGGCTTTCAGTTTAACCCTAAAACTGCAGGTACATCAACACAAGAAATTAGTCTAAAGCAGTCTGATACCACATCTATGGCGCTCGCGGGAAGAAAACGGTCCAGAGCAAGATTTTCTAACGGGAAGAAGCTCACCAGTACGGGACTTTCAGTTGCTAAATGTGGCTGTAAGCCTTATATGGGAATGGCTGCTGAGTGCGTCAGATGTTGACGGGCAGGCGTACAGTAAGCACGATGCAACGGTCCTCTGGTGTGGTTTAGTTTTACATAGGTTTGGCCCAGTAGTTGTCTATTTTATTATTTTTCTCTTAACAACAAATAATAACTACACATCTGAACTCATACATGTCCTGTCTGATGTTCACTGCCACGACCTCTAGCATTTCCGTGCTTCAAGCATTTAGATGAACTCCAGTTTCTTAGCAAACGTTTAGGTTAGCACAATCAAATAATCTTATGTACACCGGTATCAATACACCAGACACTCCCAGCCCACGCTAGCTTCTAACCAAACTTTCTCCTCTCTTGCTTAGACACAACTGCCATCGTGGCAAAAGGGAGAGGGACAGGGAAGGCGCTGCCGTGAGCTAGTTGGGAGAGCCCCGCCAAGGGCGTGGGTGGGGCGATCTGGAAGTTCAGGACATATGTGCATCTGTTGTATAGTTAAGTCCTTGGCTCGGTAATTAATCTCAATTGCTCGTCTTCAGTTGTACATATGTTCAGGAAAGATTGCAAACATGATTATATGAATGTTGTTTGTCGTGTAACTTGAACGCATCTTACACATTAGATGGAATATACATGTATAATACGTCATCAAACATTTCGATCAACCTGTTCTTAGTGCAGAATTAACTTTCAGTATGTTCATTAACTATACTCAACTCTATATTTACTACTTAAAACTATTATTTTTACTTACATCATACATTCTAGCACTATAAAGACTACATAACTATAGTTTCGAAAACATTAAACAACTGGTTTTCGAAAAATTGCTACAAAAAAGTAAATGTACACATTTCCTATACACACCTACGATCGCATATAAACACTTACCTGGGAAGATGTACAAAGTCACTCGTTCCTTTATGTGTTTGTGTGCGTCGTTATATATCTCATTGATTTCTACAGAAACATTAACTCTGATTTAACGCAAAAATCATCACAACTGCCATATTCTATACTACACGACAGCGATTAAATATTTTTACTTATTCTTCTGAACTCTTTGTTCTTGTATATGATTTAAAATTGTTATCAAGTCTGAGTATGCTACATATAGTAAAAGCAAATCTAAGTCGAATACAATAAGCAATAATATATTTTTTATTCATCGTATAAAAAGTACTTTGACGTATATTTATTTTTACTACAGTGCCACACGTAACAACTATTCTTATTTTATAAACCTTTACGTATTTAGCAAACGTACTGATGTGTACGTAAAAACAGTTAGATGTGTTAAACGTTAAACATTCATACACTAAGTAGAAACGTTCCAAAACAGGAATCTTTGAATTTTAAAATCACCAAAACTGCTAATACGATTGTGAATTGTTTATGCTATTTAACTACGAACAATCAAAACACTGACCGAGAACAAACGGATAATGCAACATATCAAAACTATAAATTATTTAACTTGTATTTAACAACGAATGACGTCAAATTCAAATCTTGGATCTCTAGCGTATCTTTTCTCCAAATTTATATCATAATACTCCTGTATTTGGATGAAAGACAAAGTTTGTGAGCGTATACGCGCATTCTTGTATAAACCCAAATAACACCGACTTGAAACCATATAAAAAGGTCTGATCCTTCACACATAACACCCAATTCTCTCACATAAGTAACATGAGAGGATCGTATTTGTTTACGATTGTTGAGAGTACGAATCAAACATGCCACCGGGACCGTAACGGTTGAACGACCTAATTAAACAGCTTTTGGTCTTTATATTAAACATAAAAGGTTTATTTAACCAAACACAGAGTAATTTATATGTTGCTTTAAAGCGTTAGAAACAATGTTGGTATACTTATATTTTTCTTGACCATATAATGACAGCTCTAAGTATAGGTTTGTTGAATAAAAACTATAAAATATTTACATTTTTATCATAACGATGTAAGCTTTTTTTGTGTTAGACAAGTTCGAATCACACTTAGCAAAACAAAAACATGTTTGATTTTACTTCAACACGCATCTTAGTTCCGAGATTTCAACACTGAAATATGTTTCCTTTTTCCATCGTTCAAAATCCTAAAAAAATAAATAAAATATTTTATCAGAGGTTCAAAAGAAGTAATTAATTTCTGTTTATTGTATAAATAATAGAGAACATTCATTTACCTAAATTACTTTCAAATTAAACCTCTAGAAACTGACTAACTTTTATATCAAAGCTATAATGCATATACTTCTGTTTCAATAAACGATACCTGATATTTTCGAATGCCGCCTTGAGGGGTCATCTGTTTTAAACACTCGCACCACTTACAGTAGTATGTTGCCTGTCAGTCAGTCAGTCAGTAGACACTAAAATGACGTCACATAAGGGACGCTTAACGTTGGAATTTGTACTGTAATAAAAACGTAATAATACGTGCGCACGCCATGAATCACGAGAAGAATTATGCACTAGACAAGGCTACAGCACAGCATGACATATGAACTTCAAGAGCAAGAAATAATTGTTTATTACTCTAAATTTTGGTTTTAGTTACTCTTGAAACAGAACACTTCCGAGAACCATGCGGAAGTACATCTAGTATGTAACATCAACTGCTTTATGTCCATTCCCTTAGGCTTAATCTTATTTCGTTCCAATATACAATTCACACTAACTTAATGCATCAATTTAACAGCAACTTAATATGTACCACTATGCTAACAGAACTTTAAGTACAGTTCCAATAATAACTGAAAACAGAAGGGTACATTCTATAAAACGATTATCCACGATCCACTGAACACTAGTTATTCACACATACACAACATACACGAAAAATTGTTCAATTTCAGAGAAAGCATAATCATAACAACATTAAATTTTAGAAGATTCAAGCATTTTTAAATAATAATCAACACGGAAACAGCACAATGACATATCATCAATTTGCTTTCTGTTTAAGTTACACATTATTCATTAAAAAACGTGAATAAAAAGACATGTTTAAGCGAAGGTTTTTTACAGCATTGTTTTAATATTAATAGATCTTATATTCAAGGTCTCTCAATGAACTAACCCTATGGACATATTACATTTCTACTGTTGTAGCATGATAGGTTACTCGGCTCTCGTGTTATCACTATGATATAAACACACAATTAATTAAATTTGAACAAGTTTACAATAAAAATCCAACTACTTACTAAAGTTCCACTTTTTCAAGGAGTTTTGTTTCTTTAGGATATTCACACAAAGTTACACAAAGGTTATCTGCACTATCCTTGCCCTAAATTTGAACTGATAGAATAAATAAATGGCACCAGTCAACATCACCAGAGCCAACTCTTGAGCTACTCGAATCGAATAGTGAAATTAACCGTCTCTCTTATATCACACCTACGGTTTCAACGTGCGTGGAACGCGAATGTTTTTAGTTATTTCTTTACGAAATTTATCAAAATTCAGTTCCATTCTTCTCTTTACATTTTCACAACTAAAGATCTAGTAGCAACGCGCTCATTTTCAACCACTAGACGGTTCTGCACTCGAATAAAAGAACACTGTAACACTAAAACCTACAATCTCTCTATCTTAAACGAATGTGATGATGTTCCTATTTCCAGTTTCTTGCGCGTCACTCTCCATTACCGGGAAGAATTGCACCTCTTAGAATGCTAGCATCTCTTGTCATTAAGCCCAGAAAACCAATTCTTAACCCAAATGTAAGCGTACCGTTACTACATCTTCAACGGTGAAAATACAAAAAAAAGAAAGAAAATAACACTAACTTCGATCGTTGAATATGAGGTGAACACGAAGAGAACTACGAACCCTCGGATGCGCAGTCCAGCACGTTAACCAATAGGCCACACCCGGTCCATTCTATGACTTAAAACAGGTTATTTGTATCGCAATTAATTTATTTTTCAAATATCACTTAGTTTTCGTTGTTCGCACTGTTTATATAACATTAGCCAAACTCACAAAGTATACACTTGTATTCTCCAAAACCGATACGTCTTGATTCGCTCTGACCCCACTATATATATTGAACTTCTGGCCATAAGACATCTACATGTACATTTCTATTGAGGATATACATGTGAAATACTTCTTTTATTATTATCTTTTATAACGTTTCGAGCAAATGCTCTTTGTTGGGCATAATGTCAACGTTTATGTCAACATAAAACGGTGTAAATGCAAAATATGGGTATTTATATGCTGAAGCAAAAAAAACAACAAAAAAAACAAGGGCTAGAATTTGGTGCTCATTTTGCATACCAAAAAGTTTCTTTGAAAAAAAATAGAATGAATAAATTATTCCCGTTTAACTGATCAAGTAGGTATAAATTAGTTGTAATAAACAAATGTACTTAATTAAATATGCACATATGAGCTTTCTTTTACCACAACTATCTGTAAAAATTTACAAGTTCCAAACGACACACTAAACATACTAAAGTATATCATGATAAATAAAATAAAAACATCGAAGTTGTCCTGAGATAGTAGAATCAGTTCCTTTGAATATTATAATCTATTGGTGAGTTTTGTTTGTGGTTAATTTGAGTTGAATGCAAAAGTATTTTAAACTGATTTGAGATGTATGACTAAAACGTCTGTCTTTTATGTGGTTTCTTTAGATAATGACCAGATAAGCAAACATTTCGTCAAAGAGATTAGATAAATGCAAAGAGGGA